GATCGACGACCAGGTCAAGCATCTCTCTCTCTCTCTCTCTCCCCTTCCATTCTTCCTCTTCCACTTGTTTGTTGCCCGCAGTGGAATCATTTGAGGTCGTACTAACCATGCAAGAAATGGAACAGATCAAGAGGGAGATTGGCACGCTGAAGCTGCTGAAGCATCCCAACGTGGTCCGTCTACATGAGGTTTGCCTCCCGCCTCTCTCTCTCTTCTTCTTCTTGTTGACTCCCCGCGTTCATCTCCTCCTCAGTTTAGTTCTGGGAGAACGCATACTTCTGTTGTCTGGTGTTTTGATTATTTTATTCGATTTAATATCGAGCAAGATCGAGCAGTAGATTCCGGGGAAATTAGGCAGGTCTCGGTGGATGGAGTTGGAAGCAAGGAATCTTTGTCCTCGTTGTCCTTCTTTTCGGATTGGTTTGGCGTTCGCAACCCCACCATGACCAAACACTAATAATACTAATAATAACACGGCCGCGACTTCGTGCCAGTCCCACGAGCTGTCCGCCCGCCATGACCGGAACGGCGCTGATTGGCCGCGTGACGCTGGGGCCCAAAAGACACTGGTGGGGGACCGACGCTTTGAGATGCGAGGTCCCGATCACGATGGCTACAGGGCACCGACGGTCGGCGTGGAACACGTGGGCCCCGGCGGGAACCGGCTCAACGTGCAGTCCAGATCGGGACACGGCCGACGGGTCCGCCGCGTCCGCGTCCTGCCCTCGGGAGTTGTCCCCATATGATCCTGGCGCAATCAACTCATCTCACTGTGGGCCTCGATGCATGTGGAGAAGGAAAGGCGTGCAGTCGATACGGTTGGGTCCAATGGACGCAGTCGCTAATTGAGGTCTCCTTCTGTGGAAACAGGGCGGGCATTAGATGTTCTCAGTAGCATTTATTTGTGATCCTTTTGTTTCACTCGGTGACTCTTCTTTTCAATGATCTCAGCATCGCAGTAAGATTGCTCCGCTGCAACTTTATCGGTAGATAGGAGTAGCAGGTTCTGGCTTTGCTGAGGGCAAATATTCTTAGTAGCTTGATAGGGATAATTATGCATGTTTGTGATGAAAGAACCAAGTTTTGTAGTTCAAATTATGCTTCAGATTCATATTGACAGGGCAATTTGGTGTTTGAGCGACAGGTATCGGCCAGCAAAACCAAGATTTATATGGTCCTCGAATACGTAGACGGCGGCGAATTGTTCGACAAAATCGTAAGCAACCTATTTGTTGAATTGCCTCTGTGACAAATCTTTGTCTTTGTTTTTTGGCGTGTCATAGAATTACGGCTTCTGAAGCTGGTTTTGCTATTCTATGTTGTAGTCATTGAAGGGTAAGCTTTCAGAAAAGGAAGGAAGGAGGCTTTTCCAGCAGTTGATAGATGCTGTCAGCTATTGTCACGATAAGGGTGTTTACCACAGAGATCTCAAGGTAACAAATCTCAACTGCACTTCTATGTGATCGATTCAAGTGTCAAATTGAGAGGGAGAGTCATCTTCTACTCGTATCACAGCCAGAGAATGTGTTGGTTGATGCAAAAGGAAACATAAAGGTATCCGATTTCGGCCTCAGTGCACTGCCTCAACATCTTGGGGTATGTCAATTAAGCTCCTCCTCAGTGAAACAAAACACTCAACTCTCTCTCTCTCTCTCTCTCTCTCTCTCTCTCTCTCTCTCTCTCTCTCTC